AAGAAGAAGGAAGTCATTGACAACTTCAGTCTTTTCTCCGTTGATAAGAATGTTGTTTATTGATCCAGTGGTGAGGATTTTTGTTTTCTTTACATTGAGATGCAATCCATACCGAAGGCTGTGCTCTTTGATCTTCATCAGTAAATATTTTAAGTATTCTTCACTTTCAGCAAGCAAGGTTGTATCATCTGGATATTGCAGGTTGTTAATGAGTCTTCCTCTAATCCTGATGCCACGTTTTTCTTCATATAACCCAGCTTCTTGGATTATTTGCTCAGCATACAGGTTGAATAATTATGGTGAAAGAGTACAACCCTGTCTCACACCTTTCTTAATTTGAAATCATTCAGTCTTCCCATGTTCTGTTCAAACAGCTGCCTCTTGGTCCATGTACAGATTCCTCATGAGCACATTTAAGTGTTTAGGAGTATTTATATTTTGCAATATTGTCCATAGCTTGTCATGATCCACACAGTTAAAAGCCTTTGTGTAGTCAATAAAACACAGGTAAACATTTTCTGATATTCTCTGCTTTCAGCCGAGATCCATTGGACATCAGCAATGATATCCCTCGTTCCATGGCCTCTTCTGAATCCGGCTTGAACCTATGGAAGTTCTCTGTCAGTATACGCTTGCAGTCATTTCTGTATTATCTTGAGTAAAACTTGACTCACATGTGATATCAAAGATATTGTCTGATGATTTCTGCATTCCGTTGGGTTACTTCTCTTTGGAATGGGCACAAATATGGATCTTTTTCAATCAGTTGGCTATATAGTTGCCATCCAAATTTCTTGGCATAGATGAGTGAGTGCCTCCAGTGCCGCCTTACTTTCTTGAAAGATTTCAATTTTTATTCCATCAATTCCTGTTGTCAGTTCCTTCAATGTACTTCTTCCTTCAGTATCATTGGCTCTTGATCTTATGCTACCTCTTGAAACGGTTGAACATGAACCATTTCCTTTTGGTACAGTGACTCTGTGCATTCCTTCCATCTTCTTTTGATGCTTTCTGTATCATTCAATCATTTGCCCAGAGAATCCTTCAGTAGTGAAAGTTGAGGCTTCAGTTTTTTCTTCAGTGACTGCAGCTTGAGAAATGCTGAGCGTGTTCTTCCCTTTTGGTTTTCTGACTCCAGATCTTTGCACATTTCATTATATACTCCAAAAGAACTGTGTGATTTTCTAATATGTACAAAACAGAAACCTGGAGAATATGTGTGGGAATGACTATTAAAGGTTTGGGATAATGGTGCAAAGAAATACGGTTGGATCAATCTGAGTTTATTGATATGGGCCCACTAAGCACTGATTCTTCATTCATTGATTATAGGTTTAGAGGAGTCCTGGTGTGGTGCTGTAGGATAAGCACTGGATTGCAAGTTGGTTTGAACTGCAAATTCATTGGTTCAAACTCACCAACCGCTACTTGGAAATCCTATACAGGGTCACTATGAGTTGGAACCGACTCGATGGCACTTAACAACAACAGTGTCACTACAAGCAACAATTGGTGGAGGTATTTTCTGGGGACATTCAGCAGTGTCTTGTAAGGCATCTACCTTAGGCAATGCCCCAGCCAGTGCCTCAGGCATCATCTCTGCAGGCGTAGTTGGGTTAATTTCATTGAACGTTGGTAGAGGGGTAAATGGTTTTACTGATAATGGGTTGTTGTTGGTTGTGGTGTGCCAAGGAGTTAGTTCTGACTCATAGCGACCCTGCATATTGTTTCTGAGGCTGTAAATCTTTACCAAAGCAGAAAGCCTCATTTTTCTCCCATGGAACAGCTGGTAGTTTTGAACTGCTCACCTTGAGGTTTAGCAGCCCGACTTGAGCTCCTGGTTAGCAGACAAAAATGTAGTAATTTCCTTTAGCTGGAAGGGATGGTGTTGTTGGCAAGAGTGATTTAACAGGATTAGGGGCTCATTGTCTCCAGGGTCCTTACTGTCTGACCACATGTCCCTGTCCCTAGTTTCAGGATCCCATTTCTTCTTATCAGTTCCCTCACGTTAACAACGGACCCCACTGGAGATTGGAATTCAGTTCGCGTTCTGGTGCAGTCACTGTTACAATAAGACTCTGGGTTTAGTCTTCAGCACAATCAGCTCTGTTACTATAAAAAATTAGGCGTTCTTTCAGGGCACAAGTGGAAACTTTGGAGATCTTTTATGTGTTGCTTGAGCTGTAACTTCAAAGCCCTGACCTGGTCTCCTCCCTTTATGTCTGTTGTCTATAAAACCAACCAACAAGAGTACCTGTCTATACTTCTTATCTTGACAGAATTACAGAAAAGTGTCAAAGACATGATCACCCAGAGTCTTGCTTGTCACCAACACTTGATCTGCAGGTGGTGATGTTTTGCTTATTGACATTGCCATCTCACAGCATGGGTGAGGCAGCACCCTCTTTACTAATTTCTATTAGTATATCAGTGCCATTAAAACTAGTCAGACTTAAAAACCAATTTAGAAAACCCATTGTTAGGATTTTGTTTCTCCACGCCCGTCTTAGACGAGTTCTCTACAGAAGCATCAGTGAAGCTTATATGTACATATGGAAGGAGAGGTTTATATCAAAGAAATGGCTCACACAGTTGTAGAGGTGGTCAGTCTCGAGTCTGTGGGTCAGATGCCAGGGTGGAGGCTTCTGACTCATGTAGCTGCAGGACTGATAACCAAGATGGGCAGATCAGGTGATAGGCAAGCAGGCAGGCTGCTGACTCCTAGGATTGACAGGTAGTAATGCAGGTCACTGGCTCAAGTCTGAAGACACAGAGGTCGGAGGATGAGCCAGCTACAAGGTCAAGACCCAGCAGAGAGCAAGCAAGCTTTGCTTGAGTGTTCCATATCTTGGAAGCAGGCCACATACTCCGAGGAAACTTCCTTTTAGTTGATTAGCTATTCATAGCTGACTTCATCATAGAGTTGATTACATTATATTAAAGCTCATTGTGGGGCATAACTGCCTCTCAGCTTCCAAGCCACTGAGAATCCTGACTTTGTCAAACTGACACAAAAGCTTAGCTATCACAGGCACCTCAGAACAAAGCATCTGTATAAAGTCAGACTGATATACCTTTCTTTCACAGAGTGGTTGGTAGGTTCGTACTGCTGACAGTTTAGCAGCTGAGCACTTCACCACTGTGCCTCTGGGACTCTTTTACATAGACCACAAAGTGATTATTTTTAAAAT